GAAATTCAAGTGTATTTATACCTCTTGAGGTATTACTTAATCATAAGGACAAAAAAAGACCACATAACAATTTACAAATAAAGAAATATTAATATTAACTAGTGAGTGCTAACAATGATTAGTAGCTTAATTTGCTTTAATGAGCAAACGAGCAAAGTTAGGACTAACATTGATTAACAACAATGGTTAATGAAGTATTACTGGTAGTATTATTGTAATCGTAAACATGAGGCAGTTAAACAAGCTACTTAAGTTATTTTGTAAATAAACCAAAGTGAGTTTGTAATCAGTAAATATAAATAAATATAAACGACTGAAATAAATCAATCACAAGTGAATAAATGAACTTTATAGTATTGTAAAAAGACATCTTTATTTATTTCATCAAGTGTGCTCACAGATTCGTCTAGGTGCAAGAAAGAGGCAATGATCGAAAACCAAATTAAATTTGTAAACTAATTAATTGACAAGCACCAAATTATTTGCAATTAATTGACAAGAGCAGTCCAAAAATTAAGCTTTAATTGTTGTTAATTGACAAAAATGATATCTTGCATTAACAAGAATCGGAAACTATAAAAAGTTTATTATTCCAAAACATTATTATAATTTAGCTTTGAGAATCAAAGTAAGAATGAAATAAAAAAGATAAATAAAAAAATAATTTTAAATTTATAGTTGAGATTAAATTAATTATTCATTACATCTTTCTTTTATTATTGTTACAGTACTAGAATTTAATGTTTATTGATTAATTAATTAATATTGTTTGGTAATAATTAATGGATAATAATTTCCAATTAATTAATAATGAAATTTTTATTTACCTTTGTTAACATTCTAGAGAAAAGAGTTAAAATCAAGATCATTTAACGAACTATCATTACCTGTATAAATTTTAAAGCTTTTAGATTTAGCAATCTCTTCATCTAATATTCTACTTGTATGATATGCCTCTGGATGTGGTTTATGTGCTTGTTTCAAAGCACTACTACCACCAGTAGTAGTAGTAGTATTGTTATCATCATCATTAACAATTTCTTTTAGTTTGTTTTCAGCAAAATCATAAAGCTCTCTACTAGTTGGTCTTTTGATGGATCCACATCCCAACACCTTTGCATCATTTGCAAATAATTTTCTGGCATTTCAGGTAATATT